CTCACCCCAAATCAAACCCCCCTCCCCCCCCCCCCCCCAGTGCCTCTGCTGCCCTCAGCCTTCCTCCTGAGCTGAGCGCACTGCATGGGGATTCCCTTTAGAGTCTGTCACCTACCCACCAACAAGCCAAACACACTGCCCTTCATGGTCTGTGCCTAGCACCCCTCTGGCCACCTCTACCACTGCCAGAACGGGAGGCCGGCACTGAAGTAGGACACTGCTGCTGTGTTGGTTTGGGGAGGAGCGGACCCCAAGCCAGAGGGGCCCCTTCTCCACTGATACCCTGACCTGGGTAGTAAACGGAGGGAGTTGGCCTGGCTGGTGTCCCCTGCTCCTCAGGGCTGGAGGTAGCAGCAACTTCTGTACATGCAGGCCTGTCTGTTGTGCATGTGGCTGGGGATAGATTAGTTCAGCTCAAGGGGGAAGGGCTCTGCCAGAGCTTGGGGGAATTCAGGTCAAATCCTCCTGAGGTGCTTCCTCCGCCTACTCCTGCCTGCTGCTGAGTGATGCCAGGGATCCAGTGCAGGATCTGCTGCTCATGCCTGTGGTGGGGGCATTGGTACGCCTGGTCGGGACATTACCAAAGCACCTTCTATTGCAGCCGTGCTCCAGTTGCTGCCCATAGGGAAGCCCCAGTGCGCTGGCTCCAAGCAGCTTCTTCTGAGCACACCCTTAGCACAAGCAGGCATGGGGAAAGCACTGGCAGCACGCACCGGTGGATATAGCCTGGGTTCTGAGCCCCAGGATGCTTCCCAGCATGAGCCACAAGTTCCCAGTCTGCCAAATGGAGCTGACAGTCCTGAGATCTAGGGGTGGCACAGACAGCTGGCCCCCACTGCAGCTTCCCCCTCCTGACGAAAAGCTTTCCAGCAGGGAAACTCAGGGCCTTTGCTTTACCGTGGGGCTGTCTTTGATCTTGGCTTGCACCTTTGATGTCTCTGTGAGCAGCCAGGGCTTGGAGTGCCTAGATCAATGCCGCACTGTGAATGGCTGAACACACACGCACACAAGCACAGGCCACGTGCACACTCATGGAGCATGCACATATCAGCTGAGCGTACACAAATGCAGGGACAGAAGGTACTTGTCATCCCTGCAGGCACCCAAGGAGCTAGCTGTACAGCCCTGTGCCGTGCCGCACCCTGGCAACGGGAGTCTCTTCAGCCTTTGGAGTAAACATGGTCAAAGCTATGACAACAGGAGCCAGCAGCCCCAGGCTCTGGCCCTTCCTCTCTGCCCTGCTCCTTCCTAGCCACTCTGCTCCCTTGGGCAAACATAAATTAGGCCTGTGTCAACAGGGATTAAGGCAATTTGCACAGGGCTATTTGCCTGGTGAGCCACTTACCACAGCTTGGATGTCCTATTATGTGCCTGGTGGAGCCCAGCTGCTATCAGGCAGGGCCAGAGGGTGGGTATTGCTTCCTCCTGATAAGGGAATGCTGCTAGCAAGGTTGTTGCCAGCTGTTTGTGCCAGGCACAGGTACATGGGTGACATGGAGGGGGCATGGGATGCTGGATGGCCGCTCAGATGCCGTTCACCCTTCTTAGTGCTTTGGAGACTCATGATCTGACTCCAAAAGATGAGGGGCTTCCTCCTTTGTCTCTGACTCAGTGGGAGGTGTGGGTGCCTAGAAAGCAGGATCAAGCCTTCTGTACCTACTTTAGTCTGTTACTTTACAAGCCCCTTGGGGGAGTACATTAGTTGGGAGCTGTGTGCCTGAGGAGAGACTCGGTGTCAGGTTAGAACCCCCCATTACTGGGTTCTCACCAGGTTTAAGCTAACCAAGCTCCAATGCAGCCCCTGACATCAGCTCAGGCATAAAGCAGTGGAGAGAGAAGAGGCCGAGTGTTTGCCAACTGGGCCCCCCAAGGAAGTGGGTCTGGCTGCCTCCCTGAACTGCTGGTCTTTTCCAGCAAGGCAGCTCCACGGTCCTTCCCTGTTATCTCTGTAGCACCGTGCCCATCCAGGGCTTCCTGGAGGATTATGTCTTTGTGATCCAGGCCCTCTTTGACCTGTACGAGGCCTCGCTGAACCCGAGCTGGCTGGAATGGGCCTTGCAGCTCCAGCACAAGCAGGATGAGCTCTTCTGGGACAACAAAGGCTTTGCCTATTTCTCCAGTGAGGCTGGAGACTCCTCACTGCTCCTCCGCTTGAAGGACGGTAAGTGTGCTGCGGAGATGGGCTGGGTTCCCAGGAGCCTTTAATGCAGGCTTTAATGTGATGTCAGGCCCAGCTCTACTAGATATGCACCGATACAACGGTCTGATGTTGGATCAGTACCAATATAAAGAAAATCGGCCCAATGGGGCTGATAATTTGGCTGATAAATGCCCATGCATGCGTGCAGCCGCAGCACAGCACTCAGGCAGCGAGGAGCACAGCTGGCAGCGTGGAGAGCTGCCTCCAGCTGGTAAGTCCATTGTGGTGGAAGGGAAGGGGTGTGGGGGGTGCAGATCAACCCACCCTGCCCTGTGGCAAGGGAGGGGGCAGAGACAGGCGCTGCCAGGGTGGGGCAGGGCACGGGATGGACCCGCGGCTTGTTGGGACGGGGGGTGGCTTCCGCATCTGCAAGCACCCAAGGAAGGCACGAGGAGAGTGTGTGCCCCCCAGGCGGGCTGCAGTGGTGGGCTGGAGCCAGGGTTTCACCGGGCTCTTCTCGCTGGGGACTGGGCTCAGGGCGGGGGCTATATCCACCCCAAATTTTGCTGTAGCTCCCTCCCAGCACCACTGCACACCCGGTGCAGCCCCAGCTCTTCCTGGCTCAACCCCCGCCTCCCCCCATGTGCCAGGAAGAGCCAGGACTTTGCCGGGTGTGCAGCAGCTGTAGGGGGAGCTATGGTGAAAATTGGGGTGGCTGCAGCCCCCTCAGTACCCCTGCCCCAAGCCCAGCCCACAGTGAGAAGAGCCTGGTGGAGCCCCAGCTCCAGGCCGTAGCTGCAGCCTGCCTGCCTTGCCCTGCCCTGTGCAGATCTGGCGACACATCCCCCACCCCATGCCCTCCCAGGGTGCATGCAGCAGGGGGAGCCGTCCCTACCCCCCTCACCCAACGAGCCGTGCCCGACCCTGCCTTGGTTGCCCCTGCCCCTTCCTTCCCCCCACGCCCTTTCCTTCCCCCCTCTTCTTCCATCACAACGAACTTACCAGCTGGATGCAGCTCTTCACGCTGTATCGGAAATCAGATCAGTATCAGCTGGTATGACTCCTTACAAATTGGATATTGGTATTGGCCCCAAAAATCTCTTTTGGTGTCCCCCTAAGCTCTGCTTCTGTGTAGCGCCGATGAGAACCCGAGCCTTGGTTGTCCTGGGTTCAGTTGTTCTGTGCTTTAAGCAAAGATGGGTATGCTGCATTTGCAGCAGTGCCCACCCAGCTGCCCTGGGAGGTGACTGGCCTGACTGACCCAAGGTAGCTGGGATGTGGTATGTACCCCAGTACAACACCTTAGCTGTCATGGTCATCCTCTACCCAGCCTAGAGAGCAAGAGCCACATCTTGAAATGTCAGCCTCAGTCTCCAACATGGCACAATGGGATGCTAACTCAGCAGTTGCTGGGGCAGCCTCATGCCAGTTAGACAGGCCTTGGGGCTGCAATGGTAGTAGTCTCTGGGTGGGTCACAGTATTAGTGGAGCCGGACCTTGGTGTCACACATGGATGACATACTGCTGAGCCCCTGGGTCAGTGCTGCCCCCATGGCACCGGGCAGGATGGCTGATGGGCTGTCGTTTCGCCACAGACCAAGATGGGGCAGAGCCCAACGCCAACTCCGTCGCCGTCACTAACCTGCTCAGGGCAGCCTGTTACTTCGGCCGTGTGGACTGGGTGGAAAAAGCTGGGCAGATCCTGGCAGCCTTTTCAGAGAGGCTGCTGAAGATCCCTGTGGCTCTGCCGGAGATGGCTCGAGCCACTGCAGCCTTTCACCACACCCTGAAACAGGTAGAGCCCAGGCCAGCGTGCTGCATGCGTTTGTGTGGGGGCAGGCATGTGGGCTGCTCTGTGTGTGTTAGCATTGGCACACATATCTGGGAAGGGAGAGGCTGGGGCAGAGCTGGTTCTTAGGAGCTGGTGTAGGGACGGGGTGGGTGATTGTGTGCCTGTCACCATTGTCCTGATCTGGCTTTGGGACCAAATCCAGGTCACAGCAGCTCCAGGTGGGATGGCCCTGCCTCCTGCTTTCCCAGTGGTCTCTCTGGGCCCTGCCATACATTGAAATTAAAGCTGGATAGAAACCAGCGATAAAGTTATTACATGTCTTCAAGCCCTAACTCTGTAGCTGGTTGGCTCTTTTTATAGATGATTTGGCATTTTTATACCGTGATAATTACTTTGCATGTGCGGCTGGACTAAATTTATTGCACAATTCACCAGTCAGTTTTGTAATATATATATATAACGTGGCAGGGACTAAGATGCCACAGCTTTGACCACAGAGCTCTGTCACGATGGGTGGTGACAGCTCAGGATAGAGGGGCTGAGCACTGTCTTGATGTGGACATGGGAGAGGTGCACAGCAGGACCAGAGCAACTGCCCCATCACAGGCTGTTCCAGGGCTTGGCCACACAGTGTGGGCTTGGGAGGACAGAGGACTGCAAAGTGTCCCCAGAGCAAGTCACTGTTAGTACTTTGTGCCTTCCATCCATGCCTTGCAGAGCTCAGCACAGCCAGCCTGCAGCTCCCTGGGGAGGGCCTGTCAGCCCCCTTTGCAGCAGGGGATGCTGAGGCATGGAGCAGTTAGGTCACAACAGATTAGTGAGGGAGGTAGGAATCAAACTTGGCTGTCCTGCTATGCGGGAGCGTACGCCGGGCACAAGATGCATGTGTTCTCTTCCACTTCGCATCATTGAGGAATGTGCCCTTCCTGTCGCCCCAACAGAGAGGGGCATGTGGACATCCCTGTCTCCTGTCTCTAGCCCACCGCTGGCTGGATGAAGTCTGAGGGAAGGGAGAGCCCCTTGTGCACAGAGAGCCCTGAGTCAGCTGCGTGCAGTGTTGAGAGGCAGATTGCCATCCCCGGAGCTTCTCTTCACTCTGCAGTTCCTCATGGCCCCATGAAGGTGTATGCCATGTGGGCATCCTCCCCTCTCTCCAGCCTTATGGCCTGTGCCAGCCTCTGGCTGAGCGGGAGAGGAGGCTGCTTTCCCTGGGGCAGGCTGGCTCTGAACTCCCTCCTGCAGGGCTCTGGCACCATCCTCTGAAACAGCCAGATCTGGCCACAGCCCAGGACAGGAGGTTGGATGGGATGGGTTGTCTGGTTGACTTCTAGTCTGTCTGGCTGTGTCTGTTGGAGATGGCCAGAAATGTGTAATAGTGGCAAAGGTTGCTAATCGACAGCAGACCTCCTCTCTCCTCCTGGGGCAGGGGGTGGAGCTGGGCTCTGATACCCTAGGTTTGCCTCTCTCCACCATGGTCTCTCTCATGCTCCCTGCTCTCTGCCTCTCCAGTTCTCCCCTGACGAGCTGCAGTGCAGACAGGTTAGTCGGGGAGCAGCAAGAAGGCCCTCAGGGCTGCAGAGTGGTGTGTATGGCTCTCTGTGATGATCCAGATGGCCGAGCCAGGTGCTGAACACTGACACACTTGTGTCAGGCTGCAGGCCCGGCTTGCAGGAAGCCCTTCACTGTCAAGCAAGCCACATGCAGGGCTAATGTGCTCCTAAATGCATGTGGGAGGTCACTGGGTGGTGACCCACTCCCCTCCTGTCTACGTCCCCTGTGTCCCTGCTCAGCCTCCTCTGACTGCTTAGATTAACAACCTGGGGCTGCAGATTAACCACAGGTCAGTGAGTGTCCTCCCCTCTGGGAGCAGGCGCAGGAGAAGCCATCGCTTTTCTGATGTGCGTCATCCTGGGTACAGCATGGTACTTCCGAGGCTGACACATGACAGCAGCCCACAGGAGAGGGGAAAAGGGGAAAGAGCTGCTCTCCCAGGAGATGTCAGGCTAGGGCTCTGCCTCCCTCCTGCTCTCTGTTTATATAGATTGCCTGTTCCTGCCTCTCACTCCTCAACCGTGTTGCTGTTGGCTTGGAGAAGCAGAGCCCCCCTCTGTCCTGCAGTTACTGCCGTGCACATGCTTGCTTTGTCTCTGCTGCAGCAGGAATTCAGTCCATCCCCCAGCCTTGGGGGTTGGTCTTGATGCTGGGGGCACTTCTGTGGGTCACAGTGGGGCAGGGACCCTTCTGTGAGGCAGGGACAGGGCTTTGCCTCTGGCCACCAAGCACCTTTCACTATCCTCTGCCCCTGAGGTGCTCACCCTTAATTCAGACAGATGAAGGCTCTTGGAGAAGAGACCCTGCCTTGCCTTGAGCAGGACTAGGCCTGCATCCAGCATGAGGTGTGTCGTCCTGCAGGAGGTGGTGCTCTTCTCTCCGAGAGCAAAGAGGATGTCTGACCTGAAACCCCGGCTCTCCTTTCTGTGCCTAGGAAGGCCCAGTGCGCTCAGTGCGTTAGCCCTTGTCTCCTGGTGAGATTCCAGTTCTGAGTCCTGTTCAGGGATCCACCTCTAGCCCTAAATGTATCCATAGACTGGCCAATGCTGATTGAACAGCTGCTGTGTTTCACCCCAGAGGTGGCTGCATACCCATGGGCGAGTCCCCAGTGGTTTGTGTGGTGGTCCCTGTGCAGCATGTTGCAGTTCTTTGAGTTCATAAATGGGAGTAAATAGGAGCTGGTGGGGTTACACTTTATTTACCCTAGCAGGGGGCTGGCCTAATGTACGTGCAGACACAATTTTTATGTCCCCCTCTGCAACTGGTTCTCTCCGGGCAGGTCGTTATCTGTGGGGACCCAGAAGGAGACGACACTAAAGAGCTGCTGCGCTGCATCCGCTCCATCTTCTCTCCAAACAAGGTAGGGTCAACATGATCCTCCTGCAGACCTTGCTGCCCCCCACCCATGGTGCCCAGAGACATCCCCCCTTACTCCTCGTCTCCCAGCCTTGCCTCACTGTTTGATCCGTCCTGCTTCCCCAGTGCTCCTTCCAGCTGCTGGGCCTCATTCCCCTACTAGTGAGGAGGAGTTGCATAGCCTTCTCCCAGGGTGTCTCCCTGATGCAAAGAAATGGCACAGAGGCTCGTTCTGTCAGCCCATCCCCCAGAACCTAATTGGTGCAGCAGCCACGAGCACAGAGCATGTGTGTTTACCAGGGGCTCCCAGGCTGGGCCTGTTGCTCCCAGCTCCACAGCCTCCAGAGAAATGCTTGTTCCAGGCAGAACGTCCCCGGCCCGGCTGGCGGCACCAAATTGCACATGTATCTAGGTTACCACGATCGACTCGGCTTCTGCCTGGAAATGTAGCATCTTCTTAGCACCCACCCACACATCCTCCAGGCGAGAGCTGCAGCGCTCACCCAGGAGTTTGTATGTTGACTCCTCTTGGTCCCTCTCCAGGGGATAGGAGGAGCCAGGGTCTGATCCAGAGCCTCAGACACCCCCAGCTTTGCTCTAGTGCTCCAGACCCTCCCAGAACCAAGTCCCATGAACCTGCTCACCAGTTCCTAAGTTCTCACAAGCCCAGTGCTGGCCCCATGTTCCCGATGGTGCCTCCCTGCCTCCCAACCCCGTGCCTTCTGTGTTTTGGGGCCTGGAGCAGTCACCTGCCTGCAGCATGGTCCCCTCAGCCAGGAGGGTTTGTTGCTCACAAAGCTGCTTGCTGCAGTCCCTGCAAATGTTAAGCCAATCCCCAGAGCGTGGCTGTTCCTTTCAGTTGGGTGTGATCATGTTGGCAGTCGCTCCTTCGGGGTGGGGGGAAGTGAGAACAGATTTTTCTGTCTCCGTGGCTCCCCTCGCTCTCTGCTCGTCACTCATGATTAGTGCTGTGTCACCCAGCCTGGCCCTGGCTAGGAAGGAGCACTGAGCACCCGCATGGGGAAGGACCCAGGCTGGGGCTGCCATGCTATGGTGGAGGAAGGAGCTGTCATTGTGCTGCGGAAGAGGCAGAAATCCCTGTGAGCAGTGCGACAGCTGGTGCCTGAGATGGCTGTCACATTCAACAGGCAGTGGCCCTGCCCTGCAGATTGACAGTCTGCTGATGTGGGAAAGCATCAGGGCAAAGGAGGCTGGGTGGGAGGTGGGGAGGAGAAAGGGAAGAGTCCCATGGCTGGGAACATCTGGAGCAGACTCATCTCTGACAGCAGCAGAGTCCCTGTGCCAGGATTCACATGCTGCACTACACAGTAGCCTGTGAGCTGCACACCGGGGAGTTAGTGCCACGGAGTCACACGCCCAGCTACACAGTGGGCCATGAGCTGTGCACACCTGCCTGCTAGTGCCAGGGAACAGTGCACACCTGCCTGCTAGTGCCAGGGAATTGTGCAGACCCACCTGCTAATGCCAGGGAGCTTTCAGGGCACTTATGGTCCATTACAAGATGCTCTTTTTCTCCATAAGAGCCTTGGTCTCCTGCAAGCTGGTGAGAGCCCAACTCTTTTTCAGTGAGACCAGCCACTGCCCACGTCCCAACCCTCTGAAAGCAAACAGAGGATCTCCGTGCTTGTGTGGGTTCTGTGCCTGGCAAGGCACTCAGCAGCCCCCTCTCTCTGTGATAGGTTTGATAGTGTCCATCCTTGCCTGTGATCTCCCCCACCTCCCCCCAGCCTTATCCATGTTATTGGCTTTGCTGCCCAGTCACTCTCCCCTGCAACCGATGCGCTGGGTTCTCTCTGTAGCAGTCTGAGCATGGCTTGTGCTCTTTTTGCAGCATATAACAGCCTCTGTCTGTCTGTGCAGTGCTCCCATCCCCCACCCTGTAACCTGGTACTTTCAGAGCCTTGTCTCTAACCTTGGCAGCTCAGATGCCTTCCCAGGGGAAGTTTGCCCTGGATTATGCTCAGGTCTGCAGCAGGGAAGAGGCCTCTGGGGTGGGAGGGGCAAGCAACAGCAAGATGGGTGCTCGTGGGGTCCAGTGCAGCTCAGCAGGACTGTTTGGGGATAGGGCACAGCTCAGCATGGCTGGAGAGTGCTTGGATTTGGTGGCAGGGTGGGCTGCCACCCATGGGGGTGTGGAGGCGACCCAAGCTCCTGCCTTCCTTGGGGCTGCAGCCCCTTTGGACTCAGGAAGAGCAGGTGGCACAGGGAATGGTGATTAAATGAACCTGGCTCTTGGTGCGTCAGATCCTGCTGTCTCTGGTTCAGCTCTGGTACCGTCTCCATGGCACCTTAGCCCTGATGTGGCCTTGCGCTGGTCTCCGTTCCATGTGCAGGGCCCGTTTCTCTTCCAGCTTCATTCCTTGCTCCTTCCCTTTGAATGAAAGCTGGTGACCCAGTTTCAGGAGTGGAACGTACTGCGTTGGCAGCAGGGAACCGAGTCTTCCAGTGCCACTGCTAATAAATGACTCCTTTTCCAGCAGCTGTGGCAGTCTTTGTTCTTTCCCACCTGAGCAGGTCCTGGGAGAGGACGCAGGCGGCAGGCCGACCAGGAGTGCAAGCAAATCAAACAGCATGGAAATTAAATTCCTTTTCACTCTTTAATTCAAATTCTTCCCAAGTGCAACAGGGAGCTTTGGAGGCAGAAAGCCCAACTGCTAAACACATTCACTCCAGTGCTGCAGGTGAGGGAACTGTTGTTGTTCCACCTTGGTTTTGCCTTGCTCAGAGTACTGAGCAGGGAAGAAGAGGGCCAGTTTCACTGGGTGAGTCTCATCCGAGCCTGGAGGGATATGTTGGTGATGGTGGAATACAGAAATGTGAGCTCCTTGGATGCCACCAGAAGAAGCCCTGTTTTGGCCTCCTTGCAAGGAGGATTGTAGGTTGTGATTGTGGTGAGATGGCGATTGTGGAAGGCAATTGCAGCTGTTTTTTTGTTGGAGAAAGGTTGAACGTTCATCCGGTGGTTGTTGGCCAGAACTTTTAATTCAGGTAGAAATGATATGCCATCTCTAGTCATAACACATCAGTCACCAGTGCCACGCTTCTCTCCTTACTGTGGAACGGTAGCATGTCAGACCTGGCCAGTGTCCAACTGGCTACTCATTCATGAGCCTTCACATCTGCTATTTACAGGTTTCCTTGAAGAACGACCTTCGTCCAGCCTTTTCTTGTTGAAATACAGCATTTAAAAAATCCATGTTGGGAACACCCGCTGCACAGTGCCCTGTACAATGGGGTGGGATGCTTCACACCTCCTTGCCATCATGGTGCTTCCTAAACTTACTGGGTTTCATTGCTGTTCCTCATCCCATCCCCTTAGTCTGTGAGCCTAACAAGCCCTCAGTGTCGCAGCCAGCTGCTTTCCTTCTTCAGTGGAATGAAAGCCCATGTGTCACCCTGCGAGTGCCCATGGTGATCGCCAAAGCTGGGTGGGACCAGGCCATTCTGTGTACCAGCTGAGGCCATTCTGGTTGATAGAACTGTCCTAGATGTCCATGAAGGTACTGATCATCCCAGATTTGTTACTGCAAGATCAGGGTCAAGCAATGCATCTGGATCAGCAGTTGCTGGGCTTGATGGCATGGCTGGGGGCTGATTGGAGGCCCAGGGAGAAGGGCTGCTCCTTACCGATCCCGGAAATATGGGTGCTTGTACCAAGCAGGAAAGTCCCCACGAGTGAACATTACTCCTCCAAATGGGGAAGGCTCTCAGTACGGGTGGCCCATCACAGCCTGTCTCCAGCACAGGTCTGTTCCTGAAAACTCTTGGCTCGGTGCTGCAGTTCTGGGCTATCCTTTAGTTGGGTTAGGATACCTGGCAGCAGTATCATTCTCCACCAGTGCAGTTGCTCTCAGTCTTCTCTCCTCTGACAGGGGTGATGCATTCCTAGCCCTGCTCAGAGAATCTGCTCCAGCAGGAGACCTCAATGTCACCCTGCTAATGCTCTGGGAGCCCTGCTTTGGGCAGCTGTCAGGGTGCTCCAGCCTCTATGCAGCTGATACTCCTCCCGCAATCTAGAGGGCTTGCTTGCCAGACTGTTATCGACCGTACATTAACTGTGGTGGTGCACCCAGATCAACCCATCTGTCATAATTGAGGCCGACAAGGAGATGGAGCCCAGGTGGAGCTACTGAGCACAGGCACCACCAGGATTGTCGTGTCAAGGGTTACTTGATGCCATACTCTTTTGTCACATTGCTGCAAAATGGTGTTGAGAGCAGTTGAGCTGTGTGCAGTGATTCCCGACACAGGTGAAGAGAGGCAGCACTTTGCCTGCTGCAGCGGAGATGGTAGGGCCAAGACAGGGAAGTCAAGACCCATAAGGACCCCTGCTCCACATAACTCTTGCTGCTGGTGGGGTCAGCATCACCACCCTACAGACCGGTGTCCTCTAGTCGTCCCCTGAAATGGCTCAGCCTGAGCAGCAGATGTACAAGCTCGCTGCACAGTCCTGCACAACGCCTCTGCTCTGACCTGGAGACACCCACCTCGAAGGATGAGCTGTACCAATCATTCAGTCTCCATGGCCCAAAGGTGCCTGGATTGAGACCGTCAATTTGTTTCCCACAATTTTCACTCATGACCAGTCTGAACTGGATTCACTGGGTGGCTTGACAGTGAAAGGCTCCTGGAGTGGAATGGGTAACTGGAATATGAAGCTGGCCACAAGCTGTCAAGGAAACAGGCTGCAGCCACTAGCGGACTTGGTGTTTGCCTTTGTCCTGTGCAAACACTACCAAGGCACCTCTGCTTTGTATGTGTGTCTGAGGGGTAAAGCAGGGAGAAGTGGGCACTATTCATGTTCCTCCAGGGAGAGAGAGCTCATTTGAGGAAGGATTTGCTGTCTGGCAGAGAGCAGCTTCTCAGCACCCTTATTAGCCAGGTTGCAGTCCCTTGGCCACAGTGGCTACTCTGCTTCTGGCCTGCAAGCTGGTGTGTACAGAGCCAGCATGGGACATCTAGGCTCCTGCAGTGAGCAGGCTG